TCGAAGATCTATGGGAAGCCTCCATGGTCATATTCGGCATCAGCATGCTCGATAACCTATAACCCCTATAATATTTTGGTTCAAGATCTTCAGGTTTAACTAGAGGCAAGAAAGGGTTAATCTATGATATTCTAGATCTCTAGGCGTCCCGTTACTCAAACATTATAAGAAAAACAAAATGCAAAAAAATCGTTACGGAATTTCACTCCGGTAGCAGAGATGGCTGGCCAGAGCGATGTCTATCTCTGCTACTACATTATTAGTATACTCTTACAAGGAACAGACTACTTGCACTTATATATTTATTAGTGCAAAGGTAAAAGTGTTTTCTGTAATAGTATATGAAAAAAAAGGTACATGTTTTTCTGTTTTCTTCATCCCATCTCTAAAGTTTATACTAAACGAAACAAAAATCTATTGTACATTTACAGGAGAGAATTCTTAAATTTCATAATCATATTTCATTGTCCACTTATGACAATTATACTTTATTAATTATACTTTATTAATTATACTTCACTAATAAAGCATGAATAAATAATAATGTATGTATTATAAATGTATGCACTTGAAAAGAACGACAAAACATAGCGACACAAAAAAATTATCGATTTTTTTTTCCTTATCCTGTATGTGTGTGTATAAAGTCAAGATCAATAATAAAGATGCGATTCGACAACGCATGTCGTTATTATTATTTACATGAAGGACACCTTTTCAAAACACAAACTATTGCGCTTCTAATCATCGTACATACGCATGGACTTTTCTTAGAATCGAAGATTTCCTAAATCATTCTTTCCGGAATCCGTTTAGTAAAAAAACAACCAGATGCCTTGTCTAGCTAACAACCTCCAGTTTTTGCTCTTTTTCAAAAACTTATCGCAATAAAGCTACAAACTAATTTAAAATGGCAACTAGATAATTAAGTAGATTAAACATTTCTCTACAAAGTGAAAAGTGTCTCGGCTCTGAACGTTGATTCGTTATGAAAATACAGCTGTCATTTTTTGTCACAAGTTACAGAAACCATCTTAGCTGTTCAGAACACGGTCTAAAAAGATTTAGAACATGGTAGAGTGCTAGTCAGTTCATCGGAAAATAGCCTGGCGGAAAAGCGAGCTGTATTTGAACATTTCACTAGGATAAAGCAGTGACATTTATCTCAAAAAAGACGTTTTTCATACTGACTACTACGGAACATTTTAAAAATTGATCTAAGCATATTTTACTTAATACTGAACCGTTTGTCACAACATTTTCGCCATTTTATTCAACCATGATGTTCCGAATCTGGCTAAAAAATTAGTTAGCACGACAAAAATATCGGCGCTTTTTTCGTAATATAATAGTTGTGCTTTTTCGTAACGGATGATTGGACGCTTTTTTTTGTCGTATGAGAGTATATGGTTCATGAGAAATAGCCGAATAACTATTACAAGGTGTCCCAAAAAACCTTACCCCTTCTGCATTTATTGACTTTCTTGTGTACAAATATAACTGATCTTTTTACCATCAGTTTAGTCGAGTAAAGCAAAGATTTCTGGACAAAATGAGATGTCTCCAAGCTCTCTAAGAGTTTTTCTCATAAAACAGCAGTCAGTTTACGGAAGGTCCCATACCACCAAAATTAGCAAAATCAACGAGAAAACAAGAAAGATACGCTCTTAGGACTTTCCGTAAACTGAATGCTGTTTCATGAGAAAAGCTCTCAGAGAGCTTGGAGACGTCTCATTTTGTCCAGAAATCTTTGCTCTACCCGACTAAACTGATGGTAAAAAGATCAATTATATTTGTACACAAGAAAGCTAATAAATACAGAAGGAGTAAGTTTTTTTGGGACACCCTGTAGAATGTCACAGGACACAAAACCAGACGTATTGCCCTCAACATCAGAATAAAATTGACTTTATCATACACTATTAGATTCTTTGGCGATCGGCCTATCGAACTTGACTGGAAGATGTTATGGGTGCGTTCGCTGGCACAGTGGGCTCTGAAGAGTAGATGTCTTACTTATCCGAAGCTTTTACGGGAAGTTGCCAACATCTGGACAAAACCGTACGAATAAGCACATTGCTTACAGGATTACCTAGTTCTTGGTCGCAAGTCATTTATACTTAAATATGCGGCTTTATTGCTGAAAAATGCTTCAGATTTTCTTCATTAGTAAGAGTTTTTCTTGATATTTTTGTCGATAACGGAATGACAAATTGTCCATATTCGAGAAGGTGTGATAGATGTTCAAGTAATTTGAACAAATCATGTCAAATTCCAGTCGAATACGTGTGATTTTTCTGACAAGTTCGTCGATAAGATAACGAACGGCTTCTTTTACTTTCATCGACTGTAGAAGTTTTGATCGGAAATTAACAAAAATTCCCCCGTGTTTCTGACCGTCTGAGCTGACCGGATCTGTTTCCTATTAGAACAGAAAAAATGCTACTACTATTTATAACAGTTACTCATAAAAAATCAGTTAAACATTCCAGTGATAATAAATAGAGATAACTTCTGTTCTCTCTAATGACATTGATACAGTTCACTAATTTAGAACGCTACATATGTATATAAAAGACGTGTCAACAACATATAGTAGAAAAAAATGTGATTTTTTTTGCAATAATAATAAGCGAAAGTAATAGTGCTTTATTTCTGAAAAACAAGTAATACTTATCATTATCTATAATATAATAGAAGTGAATATCATCAGGCGTTTGCTGTAATGTAAAACGAAAGAACTATACAATTAGTAATGGATTATTATTAGCCGCTAATTTTTTATTGTCTCATCACAAATGAGCTGAAACATGTTTTTAAGGTTACATTTTTATTTTTAATTACTAAATTTTCTAACTCACACACTGTAAAAAAAAAGTGTATACGTAGGTGTGCAAATTGGGAATGTGGTCACTCGAGGACAAGAGAAGTATATGCTTTATCAGTAATTAAACGAAGTGTGTTTAAATATTTTTATCTTTTTCATTTAATTTCAAGTAAAAAATAATTCCGGAAAATCGATCAGCACAACTTTAGTACAACATCAATTGATTAAAATGTATTTGAGATTGCTTTTTCTCTTGAAAATGAAACTTATCTACTACATAATCGTAATCTTTCTGTCTTATAAGTAAAAAGTGATTTGCTGCTTTTCATCATTCTTGGGTATAATGAAGCTTCTAAGGCTCATTCCCTTTCGCTGAAAACTCACTTCATTCGGTTGATTTAAGTTGGGCTCTACTCTTTTTTCTTTTTTTCTAGTAACATGTTTTCTCACATCAACGCTTGCTTTTATTTTTTACTGGAATGAATGTTTGTCCTTTCGAAAGATAATTAATCTCTAACTCGATAACTCATACCAGCATTTTAATAGTGCTACAGCAATGAGCAGTTGAGCAATGAGACCTGTGATCTAGATTCATTACTACACACTTCGTCAGGAGTACATTCTAAATTACTGTTCATACTTTTCTCTGTATTCTAACACATACTAGCGTCGCTTCATTCAGTGGACTCTCAAAGTCTTTCAGGAACACAGTTGGTCTCTAGTACAATCGTGTTATTAAAATAAGACTACGTTATTCTTCGCACAATGCACTACGTGATAGTCCGTCTATTCCACCGTCTAATAATGCGAATTCTGTATTGTTTTTGTGTACTTACTTTCGAGCATCTCAGTGAATAGACTGAGAACTTAACGAATATTTCAGCATTTGTCTATTGATTAACGGAGACTAAAGGCTCACATCGTTTTCTAATTCACCTCTACTGCTCCAGATCATCCTGCAGAATCATTTCATTAACTGAGTTAGATCCAAGTTAGTACTGCATATTTGCCCAAGACTATGCGAGGGAAAAGATAGTTTGGGTTATTCAGGAATCTGTCAGGAAATTGAGCAGTCTTACCAGTTATAATAATATTACGGTTGCTTTTTTGTTCGACTTTATCGCAAAGCCTATTCATTCTTTGTACTTCAATGATGATGCACCTAGAAGTTCATACTAAACTTCCTTTAATTAATGACGATGACTGTTTTTTATGTTTAGAAAACTGAAACATGGATTTGATGATTATGAAACCAAAGGGCAGGGAGGGCGGTCGTGGTCGAGAAGAGGGCGGCCGTGCTGAAGGGGGTCGTCGAACTGGAGGCGGATTTGGTGGAACCGGTCGTAAGCGAGAATTACGACGTTTGAGTGACGCTCTGGGTGATCTTGGTGCAGCTGAAGCGTTATCGAACGAGGATATATCGTTAATTTGGTTTGATGCTGATATGGTTGAGGGAAACGAAGAGAAGGCTAAGTTAAAAGAAACGGTTCAAGATGAAGTATCCAATGCTGTGTTTTTTTACACAAATAAAACAGCATGTATGGCTTATATCGAATCACAAACAAAAGCAAAAATATTTTTTATTCTCTCATCCGATTCGTATGAGGTGGATGAGTTTCCAGCAATACACGCTATTGTTCAAATCGATTGCATTCTCATTTTGAGTACAAACACCGAAAAATATGAAACATTGTTGAATAATACAACATTTCCAAAAATTGTTGATATTTTCGCCGAGTTAACTCCATTATTAGAAAGCATTAAAAAACAAGTATCACTTTTAGCCAAACAATCGGCTGCCTTCAGTTTATACGATCAAAATCAAAAAGCTACGCGTAACTTAAGTCAAGAAACTGGTTCATTTTTATATCTTCAATTATTCAAAGACGTTCTGATGAAAATGCCACATACCGAAGAGTCAAAATTGGAAATGTTGGATAAATGCCGGGGCTATTGTCGCGGAAACAAGAAAGAAATGGGAAATATTAATGATTTTTATTTGACCTATAAATCGAATGAAGATTCATTAACGATCGTACATAAAGTATTAAAAATAAAACATAAAGCCAATGATAGCATACCGTGGTACACCAAAGAAACATTTTTATATCGTCTAGTCAATAAAGCTATGCGAACAGAAGATATTGAAGCTCTTTATACATTTCGTTTCTTTATTGTTGATCTAAGCAATATGTTACAACGACGCTATCGGCTTTTTAAACGAAAGTTAGGCAAGAAAGAAGCAGCAAAGCATACCGTATATCTTTATCGTGGTTTTCAACAGTCACCGGAAGAAATACAAAAATTACGAGAAAATGTTGGAAATTTGATATCTACAAATGGTTTTCTATCTACCAGTCGTGCTCGTTCAGTTGCACTAGGTTTCGCTCGTAATATCAATCGTCCCAACGTGGAGCCTGTTTTATTTGAAATTAAAACTTGTACTGCGCTAAGAACGGCTGTATTCACAGACATAAAGGAATTTAGCGCATTTCCTGAGGAAGAGGAAGTATTGTTTGATTTGGGTGCTTGTTTTAGCATCGATAGTTTCGAATATGATGAAGAGGAAAAGTTATGGACACAAAAAATGTCGGCCACAGATCGTGGTTTAGAAATTGTCGAAGAATACATGGAATTTCGTCGTAAAGAAATGGCTGAGTTTGATGTAGTAATCATGTTTGGTAATCTGCTATTAGACATGGGTGAATATCTGAAGGCACAAAAGTACTTTGAAAATTTAATCCGTGTTAGACCCGATCATGAACACGCACCAAGTATCTATGGAAACATAGCCATTGCACATTATTATAAAGGTAATAACTTTAGCGAACAGAACTTATAAGGCAACATCGCCAAATGCCTCCTTCCTGAGACTACGATTAACAGTAAAATTTTGACCAAAAAAAGTAGCTGTTTTTCTCTTATTTCATGCAACTGCTTCTATATCGTTACAATCTGATGTTTGCACAATGTAAATGACGCCTATCAGGGAATGTGACCGATGGAAAATAGGAGTCTTTGACAATAAAAAACTAAAACTGTCTTAATCCAACAACTATTCAACGGTGGCAATCAGAAACATCATACTGTAGATCAATACAGTGAATTTTACTATTCACGGTACTTTTCATCGAAATCTCAGGCGGAGACAGTTAAAAAATGTTTTCTTGTTAGAGCAGAAATCGAATCGCTGTATCACTTCATGATTTTGTTCCTTCTTTTTTCCTGATATAAATCGTTTCATTTTTGTTCAAGGTGAATATGATGATGCAATGACGAATTATAAAAAAGCCTATGACATATTCATAAATACAAAACCCATTCGTTATCCAGATGCCGCTCGTGCACTGAATGGTATTGGCATTATTAATCGTTTGAAACAAAACTACGATGCAGCACTTGAGTCGTATGAACAAGCGCTACTCTTATATCAGAAGAAATATAAACCTGTACATATCGAAGTAGCCAACACTTTAAACAGCATCGGAATTATTCATAACAAAAAAAATGAGTTTGATCAAGCTATTGACTTTTATAATAGAGCATACGAAATGTATAAACTTACATTGCCTGCTGATCATCCAGATACATCATCGTGTTTAAATAACATTGGTGTTGCTTATCGACAACTAAATGATTATGAACAGGCAATGGACTTTGCAACGCAATCTCTTCGTATGAGAGAAAAGACATTGCCTAGTGGCCATCCGGACATCGGTCGGTCTTGTGAAAATATTGGTCTCGTCCATTGTATGCGTCATGAATATGTAGAAGGCCTCGAAAACTGCATGAAAGCAGCAGACATATTTGAAAAGAAGTTTGGCCCAGATAGTATCGATGTTCTTCGTATTAAACACAACATTAACAAAATAAAAGAATTAATGGGTGATGTTACAGAAGATACAACACTTATGGCCGGTGATAATTTACTGTCGGAGAAAAAACTGGCTCTCTTTAATGGTGAAGAATCAACAAAAACAGCACTAGAGTTGAATAATAAAGAAAATGATGCGAAAAAATTAGATATGGTATTTGAGGAAGATGAATTATTTGGTGATAATAAGTCGGTTATCAATATGAGATTTTAGAAATCATAACTCGTTTTCATAATTTTATTTTTTCATTTTGTATTACTACATGTTTTATTCGATAATTGATTCTATTCAACTGAAAATAATTCTCATTCATCACTCACTTACTAAATAAATTTGACTAATCGAACAATTGGCGTACGAAATTGACTACTGTGGTTTTTAGACCGACTAATCGGATTTTTAGATGAAGTATACGCACTATTATTTAGTTTATACAAGAAAAGTTAAAATAAAACAGAAGAATTCCAGTTTAAAAGTGAACGATTTTTTACACAACAAACGTGAGTGTGACATTTAAGTCTTTTCTTATTCCATATATTATTGCACCTAAAAATAGAATGACCATTTCATACTCTAGAAATTGCTAACTTGTCTGACAAGGGAACATATTTGAGTGTCCTCCCTAGAAACGAAATGAAAAGTAGCCAGTCTATCTTGTAGAGAATTTGATGCTGATTGTGAATATGAATAGCTTAGCTGTTCTTGTTTATGTCTTTAAAAGATACAGGATAGAACTTCTTTGCCTGAGGCGTCTCTCTGCTGATAGATACCACTTTTATTAGACTAATATTTTTTTGTAAAGCGTCCAGGGAAAATTGGCTCCTTCGAAGTTCCCCAGGCCATCTTGGGACCATTGTTGCTTCTAATATTTATTAACGATATGAGTCTAGTAGCCGTATTGCCTTCCATATCTGTTTTGTATGTAGATGACTGTTCATTGCTGTGTCCGATTACGGTCATGCCCTACTCCAACTTGCCAATGTTTTATTGACAAAGTGGAAGAGTGGTGTTCAGAGAATCTCGTGACATTAAATTATGCAAAATGCTCATGGATTTATTTTACAAATCGTAGTGCATCTGTTGCTGATAACGTTTCTTTGAAGGTAAACGGAACAGTTATGAATCGAAAAAATCAGTGGTTTTACTTGGCGTGCGCTTACGTGGGGAGAGCACGTTGACGAGCATGTTGACTCAGATGTAGAAGGCGGCTTGGAGCAATGTTTCGTACTCTTAAGGAAACTAGTTAACACCCGATTATCTATTTTTCGAGCTTGTATTCTTAGCAAACTCGATTACCGTTGTCTCGTCCACAATAGCAAAACTGTTATGCCGAAACTCTTGACAAAATTTTGAAATTAGCCGCAAGAATGATTTTGAAAACATTTGACGGACTAGTGTCAGAGTTAATTCAAAAAGTAAAGCTAAAGATTTGTCGTTGAGATGAAAATATTTTCGTTTAATTTATTTCTATCACGTAATGAACAAATTATCGCCACTTTCAGTTTTTGGTCTGTCCTTTATAACACCACTGACGGCTCGTAGAATAGAGTGTCTGAATATAGGTACAGTTTTACAATACGTAAGGACAAACACGAAGCAAGTCGCGACACCGAATCTTACAAAAACACGGGTAGCGTCAGCTTTTTTCTATTAGACTGCCGACGACTGGAACGCCTTACCAAAATCGGTTGTTGCGGTACGCACTCTCTAAAAAAAACGGTAATTACGAAACTTAAAAGAGTACAGAGAAGTGCAACCATTTCTAAACCCTTTTAGGTTTCGTAGGAGACATAGTGCAGTACGAAACCGTTTAAATACATAAATTCTAGCAGTTTTTTTTCTAAAAATTTTTTTTTCTGAGTAAGTGGACCATTTCAGCAGCTTAGGTGTGTTTTCATTGTATAGGAAGCGAAAACTGAACTAAAAAATACCTGAGACTTCTGTAATTTTTGATTTTTGGAGAAAAAGTCATGAGGAAAAAACATAACGAAATACGCAAATGCACTGATCAATCGTTCACTTAAAACGGTTTCGTACTGCACCTTGTCTTCTACGAAACCTAAAAGGGTTTACAAATGGTTGCACTTCTCTATACCCTTTTAAGTTTCGTAATAAACCTTTCTTTTTTTAGAGAGTATTCTAGGTCAGTTCAAAGCGAAGTTGAAAAATCATTTGCAAATTTAAGGCGTTTTTTGTGGATTTGTTTCTATTTCTATACTCTGTGTGTAAGAGTACATAGAGTATTTTGGGGTAATCATAGACACTGTTTGATATTTTCGTCGTTTTTTTGCTATTTCTTGGCCGTTTTTGGTCGGAAAAACTTTCTATTTAATACGGTGGTGGACCGAACAGCTTTCTACGTGTTCAGGTAAAAATCTTTTGAAATCTCCGACCAGTTTTGAGCCAAGTCCAAAATGTAAAGAGCTCCATCAAAGTGTCTTTAATTACCCGGATAGGGGTAATTAGAGACACTTCACTTGTACACTTGCGGTAAATAGAGATACTCCATTCAAATACATGGAGTTTTTATGTACAATTCCTGGTTGATTAAGCCGAAGAGATCATTAGTTCAAAAACACCTCATTTTATAGCCTGGATCTTCGTCTTTCCACCATATAGTTTTAAGCTTATTATCATTTAAACTCATTAAGCCAATTAACATATAATGAACAATACTTCAGATTCTCTTTTTCCCTTTTTTACGCTTTGGGGTAAATAGAGACAGTCCACTGAAATACACGGAGTTCTTAGAGACAAACCTCTACCGTCCCTCAGAAGCCGAATTTGATATTATACCAGAGCGATAGAGACATTTTGATGGAGCTCTTTACATTTTCGATTTGGCTCAAAACTGGTCGGAGATTTTCAAAAGATTTTTACCTGAACGTGTGGAAAAATGTTCGGTCCACCATCGTGTAAATAGCAAGTCTTTCCGACCAAAAACGGCCAAGAAATAGCAAAAAACCGGCAAAAA